GAGAGAGAGAGAGAGAGAGAGAGAGAGAGAGAGAGAGAGAGAGAGAGAGAGAGAGAGAGAGAGAGAGAGAGAGAGAGAGAGAGAGATCTGCAGAGAAGAGCAATAACTGAAATGCTGGATTCGGCATACAGGAAAATTGAGAGAGAATTGTTCACTTTGTGTTGATCGGCAGAGAAATGAAGTGGCTGGAGAAAAAAGAGCAGAATCAAAGACCGAGCCTCGAAGACATTAAATTTTCAATTTTTCAAATCGAAAAAGGGGAACTAAAAACAGAGTAGACGCATATTGTTGGATGGAAACGAAATGAAAAGAAAAAAACAGAAAATAATTCACGCCCCCCCCCCCCCAAAAAAAAAAAAAAAACAGCCGCCACATAGAGAAAAAAAAAACAGCCCCCACATAGAGAACATGGTTTACCATTGAAAATTTCGTTTTTTCGCTGGGATAGGTGCTGGGCGATCTTGACAAAAATGGGTTGAGGAGGTATTTCTGCATTTCTTAGCTGCGGATAAACACATTATGCTGCAGTCGATAGGTACGATGCAAACCGAATTTTCTTTCGCCGCTGGAACAAATAAAAAAAGAAAACAAAAAAGGACAACGGATAACTACCTTCCTCCCCCGAATGAAACAACCGGTCATTATAGCTATATCTAGACTGCGAGATGCCTCAAATGCAGCTATAATGACCATACGTTGTATTCGGGGGAAGAAGGTAGGACGTAGGGCCTCGCTCCACTACTCGAGACATGTGCAAAACGAGAGTGAATCTTCCGCTAGAACATGGAAAGATACAACAAACACCATTATTTTTGTCTTTTCTGCATTCTTTTTTATTTTTTTTTCGAGAGTCGTGGAGCGAGGCCCGTAAATTCCGTAATCACGCCGTCAGCCACCTCTTCCTTCTTTCCTTCCCGTCTCCTTCCTGGGGACTCTGTGTGCTTCAGCATTAAAACTTTTTTTTTTTTTTTTTTTTTTCAAAAATTTGGACCATTTCTCGATTTATGCGTGTCATCCTTGCGCAGGGGCCATTTGCTAATTTACCCTTCTCTGTATCGTTCCAATTTTAACAGATGTCCCGAAGGACAACTTCAGCATTTAAACTACCACTTACAATTCAAAAAAAAAAACTCATTTCCTGACGCCGAAAAGGGCGCTACATCCCCGCCAATTGTATCAGCTACAAAGCGCAGCCGCATTTTTCGTCTGCTGTGCCGTGCACCCTCTTATCCTGTGTCAGGGGCTCAGATTCCTCAACAGGAAAACAGTACAGGCCTCCGGGCTCTTACCCTGTCATGTCTAAGCAGGCAACAGTGCACGCCGCAGGAGTCCAACCCTTCACGTCATTTCTACATATCCTTCCTCAACACATCTTCTCTCAAATCTCTCCACAGTTTAAAAAAAAATCATAATCTCTCCACAATTAAAAATCTAAAAATATCTCCCCAGTAATCCTCCTCCTCCTCCTCCTCCTCCTCCCCCTCCCGTAAACATCGCCTGACGCACTGGGGCACATATATCAAGCAAGCGGGCAGGCGAGCGCGCGTATTCGCTCCCCCCCCCCCCCCCCCCCCCCCACACACACACACACACACACAGAGAGAGAGAGAGAGAGAGAGAGAGAGAGAGAGAGAGAGAGAGAGAGATCCTCTCGGCCCTACTTAGGTGAATGACAGCATCATAGGGACCAAGCAGGCGTGTGAAGGAATGGGAGAGACTTTACGTGTTTGGTTTCTCGTGTGAGCGCGTGCGCACGCGCGTGATTGGCAGGTAAAGCGACTTGGGGCCAGGAAATGAGAGAGGCCGCTTCCGAGAGACTGACAGAACTGAGGCGTAGAGGGTGGAGGGGGGGGGGAGCCGGGGCCAGCCGGACGGAGGCCTGCCTTCACTCCAGGGGGTAGGGAGTCTACATTACATCCTCTCCTCCACGCAAGCAGCCCGGTGGTGATCCCGCCATTTACCTACAGTAAGTAATTCGGCTCAGTGACAGGCGCGTCACGGTGGCTCTTTCGAAAGGGCCAACTGAGAGTCACTGTGTCACAGTCACACCCTTTGTCCACATACTCGGACGACGCCGTACGTTATTCCCATTGCCAGCAGCCCTCCCACTGTGACTCTCACCGCCGGCACAAACGCGCTGGCCCCCCCGAGACGCGCTCCCAGCGCGCCCGATGCCGCCAGGGCAATTACGCAAACCATAATAACGACCAGAGTTCGCGCCGGGACCGCAACTGGTGTCAGCACACATGCAAGTACAGGAATGATCCCTCCGCTGAAGAAAGACACGGCCGAGGCTATGGCCGCCTGCAGGGGATTAGCCAGATTGTCGATGTCGATGCCCAGCTCATCGCGTGCATGAGCTCTAATGGGATCTACACGTGTCAACTCCTCAGCCACTTTCCGGGCAAGGGTTGGGCTAAGCCCCCGCTTTATGTATATCCCAGTAAGTTCGTCGAGCTCGAGAGCTCGGGCCTCCGGTCCCTTCTCGTGCTCCTCTCTCTCCTTCTCCAGATCAGCAATCTCCGTGTCTCGCTGACAATGGACGGAGATATACTCCCCCACGGCCATACTGCAGGCGCCGGCAATCAGTGCCGCCAGACTGGCCATAAGCATGGATCTGAAGTCGGGATCAACGGCGCGGGTCCCCATAATCAATGCCGCAACGGAGACAAGACCATCGTTAGCACCAAGAATCCCGGCGCGCAGCCACGGAGCACGGTGGCAATAATGGTCATGGCACTCCCCCTGCCACGTGGCGGGGGGCGGGATTGGCTCTTCATCAAGTTCATCTTGCTCTTCTTGGTCTTGATCGGCCGAACCCGCGGGCGGGAGAAAAGGCTCTCTCAATCCGAGATCGAAGGGATCAGGACGCCTGCACAGCGGACTCCGAGGCCGTGGTTGCGCAGGCTCGAACAATTGCCCATATGAACCCAAGTTACCCAACTGGGCGCTTGAGTTCGAGTTCGGGTTGCACTTCGCGTTCGAACTCGGATTCGAGAGCACGGGTGGGATCGAATTCGCCCCCGGGCCGCCATTGCCGCATGCCTCCACCGTGCACAGCTCCTGCCTCGAGTCCCTCGACATTGCCGATACCGATGCAGTGATCTAACCCCCCTCTTCGCCGCTTCGCGAGGGAAAGTGAAGCCTTGCACTCTCCCTAAGCTAGGTGGTAGACGACTGCACATAGCTAGCTATTTCTCCGTCCACT